AAAAAAAAAAAAAAAAAAAAAAAAAAAAAAACCTTCCCTTATAGCTTGATTTTCTTAGTTGCTGAAGCTTCAGAAACTTCCTGAGTCAAATTCAAGTGATTTTGAGTGTATTCAAGCTGTTTGGGTGTTATAGTAGTTGAAGTTGATTCTGATTTGGTTTAATATCGTTTCCTGGGTTCCAATTAAGTCCAAATTGATTCCGGTTGCTGTGAATTGTTGTCTGAATTTGCTGTTAGTTGCCAACTGCTGCTGACTATTATTTCTCTTTGTTGATTCGATACTCAGGTACATTTCTCCAACTTTGAAGTTCTGGAAACAGACATCGCTATGTATGCATGACTTTGAAGTCCTCTGATGAAGGAATACAAGTTTTCTATTTGAATTTGCCTTCATAGTTGCTATTAGTCTTAATACTAGTAAAATTTGTTTAAACTATACCTATTTGTAATTGAATGGACTGTTTAAATAGGACTGTTGACATGAATTGGGATTATTATGTGGCTGCTAAATCATATAGGATTGTTAAGTATTCAATGACTTAGCATAGTTGTATCTGGTAATTATTGAGCTTTCAATATTAAGCAAGTAGCATAAGGAAGTGGTTTCAAATGTTCACTTGTAAAACAGCAAACAGTGTGTATATATCCGTTTCATTCCAGCCATTAGTCTTTAATATAATTCAGTCGATTCATTTGTGTAATAGGTCAGGTCAGAAACGGATAAATAGATATTATGTTATTTGGATAACTTCAGAGTTGATCCAATCCTTGCAATTATGTTTTTAGATTGATAAACTTGGTAAGCCTGTTTTAAGTTGAGAAGAAGTAAATAACCAAGAGTCAATATAGTTTGCAACTATACAGCTTTGTGGAGTAGGCTTTGAGCCTGGATTAACGGTAAATTTGGGCTCCTTGGAAGCCCAAATAGCCTCATCAGTCCATCTGAAATTAATTGGGCTACTGGCCCAAAATCCCTTCAGCCTATTTTTGTAAGGCTCAGGCCAGTTGTGCAACAATAGGCCCAATTTGCATGGCACCAGGTCCACGCCTGAACAGCTTCACACATCAGAACTAGGCCAAACCTTTAAGGCCCAAAAAATTATTATAAGTCAAAAACCCAAAATTATATTAGGAACACGGGGAATTAATTTGCAATGTAAATTTAGATTTTCGAGTTAGGTAGCGGGTTCAAACTAAGAGGGTCCTCCCTTTTGTTTGAATTCGGACTTGAACTTGAGGCCCAAATTTATAAATATAAATTAATTAGGCCCTTTTAGAGACAAAAAGTAAATAGAAAAATCGTAGTTGCTTTAGGTTGGCCTTTAAATAAAAATGAGATGAGCCTCGCCAAACAAAACACATAAATTGCGGGGCCCTCATTAAATGCTTATATCAAAATACTTAGAATTTGGGGCGTGCCGTTTAGCGAATTTCACGGCCCTCCGCAAAGATAATAACCCGTTAGTCGCTTTAGGCGCGCTTTTAATAATTTTACCTTCTTAAACACGGGTGTGCATTTCATGCAACCCAAATCCAAATCCCAAAACGTTGAATGATCCGGGTGCATTTCATGTGACGTGATCCGAAAACATGTTTTAAACGACGTTCAATTTCCTAAAAATTAATTAAAAGCGGTAAATAAGTTTAAAATTGCACTATAGGATGACATGTATTAAAATTAGAGTTTTAGCCAATTATAATGGTTTAAGCGACCGTGCTAGAACCACGGGATTCGGGGGTGCCTAACACCTTCCCTCGGGTCAACAGAATTCTTTATTCAGAATTTCTGGTTCGCAGACTCCAATTGGGAAGTCGAAATTTTCCTCGATTTGGGATTCAAGTTAAACCGGTGACTTGGGACACCAAAAGTCAATCCTATCCCAAGTGGCGACTCTAAAAACAAATAAATAATCTCATTTCAAATAATGTCACTTTAAATGGAAAAACTCCCTTATACATTATCCTTCGGGTTAGGTGTGTAGAAAAGGAGGTGTGACAGAGACGATGGGAACTGGGACCGCAGATGCTCTCATTTTGACGTAGATGCGGGACCGCACCTGCGGGGGATGGAGCGCAGAAGCGGAAAGGGGGAGGCCTGGTGAGGACCGCAAATGCGGTATTGGGGCCGCATCTGCGGGACCGCAGAAGCAGTCTGGGAGCTGCAGATGCGGAAAGAGCTGGGGCAGAATGTTGTTTTAAAATTCGATTTTGGCCATTTCTCATCATATTTTTCTTGGCTTGGGGCGATTCTTGGAGAATTTTTTGAGAGGATTCCCATCACCAATGGCAAGGTAAGTTACCCCCACCTATTTTGAGTTAAATACATCAATTATGTATGGATTTGAGCATGAAATTGTAGAAAAACTTGGGGTTTGAGGGAAGACCTAGAAAATTAGTGTTCTTGAATTATGATCACGAATTTGAGCATGGAATTAGGAGTAAATTATATATTTGAGCTAGTGAAGCCATGGGTAATCTTTATCTTCGAAATTTTTTGGATTCCGGGCACGTGGGCCCGAGGGCGTTTTGGTCAACTTTTCGATCGGAGTTAGGAATTGCTGTGAATTAGTTTGTAATGAATATTTAGGCATATATTAATGGATTTGCATAACCGTTGGCTAGTTTTGGAGCATGGTGCATCAATTAGAGTCCCCGGAAGGGCGTGAAATGCCGGTTATGAATCTTCAGAGCGAGGTGAGTCTCCTTTCTAACCTTGTGAGAGGGAAACGTCCCCATAGGTGAATTAATTGGTTATGTGCTCCTATTTGTGGGGGCTACGTACGCACGAGGTGACGAGAGTCCGTGCGTAGCTACTATTATGCTATTGTCCGGGTAGCTAGGACCCAAAAGCATGAATACTTGGATTATTTGTAAACTCTTTGATAGCTTAAATTGCTTATATCACATGGAATTTGTAAATGAATTTTCTAAAGGGATTTAACCTTACTTCTTAAAATTTGTTAAAAGAGAGTTGGATATATTATGATAAACACTCCCTGATAAGTTCTTACTTGATTGATTGAGCATGTACCTCTATGTGTACCTGCGTCGCATGTATGATTCGCGAGCAGGGTATGTGTTTATTTTATGTTGACCGCGTCGCATGATTAATTCGCGAGCGGGGAAATAGATGCATCTATAGGCGCGCCGTCGACCCTCGGCAAGTGCACATTTATTTTCTGTTGGATCGGGCCGTCGCCTCGGTATGATTTGCGCATGATATCTTTTATATATTGATGCATGAGAAATCTTAAATGATGATATTGCCTTTCATGGCTTGGGATGAATTGATTAAAATGAAGAGAAGTAAATCTTGAAAATCCTTTGTTAATTGTTAAAAGGTGTTTACCTGTTTTACAGCTTTGTGAATTAGGACATGCTATATGAATCCATGATTTCCTCACACGTTTAGTATATTATTATTGGACCGCTAGTGAGTGTCCAGGTTGACCATCTCGTCTCTACCTCTTCGAGGTTAGGCGGGATACTCACTGAGTAAACATTGATTACGTACTCATACTACACTTCTGTGCATTTTTGTTGCACAGGTATATGTTACCTTAGCGGCCTACTGGGCATAGCAGCATGGATGATTCGGGGACTAGGTGAGTTGCAGTATGCGAGGCGGCCCGCAGCTAGTGTAGTTCCTTTCAGCATTTTTATATTTATTCCCTGTCCACTGTATTTCGGACAGATGTTGTATTTCATTTTCCTTATCAATAGATGCTCATGCACTTGTGACACCGGGTTCTGGGATGGTTTTTTTGAAAGATCTGTATTAATTGATTATTATTTAATTTGAATCGAAATAGTGAACCTTTTTTTTTATTTGCGAAAAGTGAAAGGAAAATCCTGGATTTCAAAAAGTATTAAAACGAGAATTTAATTAAGTATTTAGTTGGCTTGCCTTACAAAGGTGTCCGGCGCCATCACGACCCGTAGTGAATTTTGGGTCGTGACATTTTGCTTCATAATGATTAATGAGTAGGAAAGAATCCTTGATTTACTCAAATTTCAAAAATTAAGGCAAGTGTAAGAGTGAAATCGTCCACGAGACTGTCCTTCAATTCCACAGTATTTGAATAATGCCCGGAATTAGCGAAACTTGTGTGGGCGAGTTTCTCCTAGGAAAATCGTGTAGTAAAAATCATAGTCTCCTTATGAAAATTAACGTGGCTTCATATTATGGACCTAATTCGAAATATCCGAATTAATACTACCATAATAAATTACGAATTATTCCATTAAAAATTCGTAACTGCACTCCTCAGTTCAATTTCAAAAATTTTCCATTAAACCTTATTTAACTCCCCATGTTAAGATTTAGATACTAATCAAATAAATTAAATTACTGACAATTTAATTCATTGATTATCTCCTTTAGGCTTTCACTTAACTTATTTCATGTGACAGATACAAAATCCACGTGTAGGGTTTACACATGAAAACTTATAAGCTTTCATAAAGGTGTATCATCAATCTCTAGACCGAGACATGGATTCCATTAACTAACTATTACTTTGCCAATGTATATCATTATTGTCCAATTTACCAGGCATATTGACCTATGAAAGAATCTCGCCTTTTAATAAATCAAAACAATAATAATATATACAGATAATAATAATTATATCAAGATTAAGAGCATAAGTACATTTATTGGCTAGAGAATTTATTTTATTAAGTCAGTATAAAATACTTATCTCTATTTGATCCGTTCAATACATATAAAATGTACTAGCACAAGAAGTTGGAATTAAACCATTCCCATAATCAAGATAAATTATATTTAATCTTGTGCTACAATCATTCATGGTTTGTCCAATTGAATCATTAGATTGTGAACATAATCTTTATACTTATAAGAACCGATGATTTAATCTTCCGTGTATAAGCAAAACTCTATACACTAAATATATATGGTGCACCGGTGGATGGTCCATCCCGCCTAGGAGTAGCATGTAATCATTTAACAAATTGTGAGAATGGAGAAAATGAAGATGGCGATAAGGAGCTGGGAGCAGCATCTTTTCATAGGTTATAAGCATTTCACTTTTTACACTTCTTTCAGCAATACAACAACTGCTATATATTTCTCTTTTTCCTGTAGAAGCCAACAAGTTTCTAAAATGTACAAAACATCAATCTCACAATTGTGTATGGACAAACCTCACTCTCTCTCTATTGGCTTTATAGGCCACCAATTATATATGGTAATGTAATATAGCACACAATCTAGGTCCAACTAAATGTCTCGGGATTTTCTATATCGTGCTGATAATTTTGAGGACCTACACGAGACGATGTAGGAGGTTGATTCATCTGTGGCCATCCCCCTGGAGGCAAAATCATCTGTGAATTCTGTTGCTGCTCTAACAAAGCTTGTCGACGCCTTCTCCATCTAAAGAACTCGACAAGTAACGAACTTCCACTCATTGCAACTCCAAAGCCAGCAAATGTAGACAGAAGAATCGAAAGAACTGCTTGCACGTGAACCTAAATATTATACAGATGGCAAACTTAAGCACTTCACTATACATATTAAGTTCTCAATGACAATTCCCACAAATATTGTCAGATATATCTTACCAAAGAATAGAAGATATGTGCAAATAGTACTACTAGCGCAAACTGGACCGATGCATAAACCCAGACAAATCTTCGCTTAACTGCACAGAAGACAACAGCTATAGTTAAATACAAAAAAGACACAATGCACATTTTCTGAGAAATAACATGTCAAGCTCATACTTTTCTTCTTTCTAATCCATTCAGATATGTTTTCCAAACTCTTACGAAATGGCGATGTTTTATGTTAATTGATTTCTCATTTAAGGGAAAAAGTGTTGGGGTGAGGTGATGACATGACCCTTGATAGGAAGGTGTGGAGGTTGAGAATTCGGGTAGAAGGTTAGGTGGCCGACTGTTTTCTGTTTTCCTTGTTCATACCTGTGGTATTAGTGTGCTACATAGTGTTAGACTTGTATTTTCTTATTCTTATATTTTTGTTATCACTTGTTGTTTCGTTCACTTTGATTTTCTGATTGGCCTGCTGGTGTTACTACTTGCTGGTCAGCTGTTCCTTGCAATATCAATCAGATTTTCACTGAATTGGTGTGTGTATATTCTTTTGTCGCAACTAATGTTTTTGATAGATCAAAGCTTCTTAAATGTTACCGCTAGTGATAAATAACGTACCCATGGTTGAAGATGTCATTGACGCGAGTAGGCCTAGCACACAAGAAAAGGGAAGTGAAATAGCAATTGCACCAGTTCCCATTTTCCCAACCTGCAGATCAGATAAGTTTAAATTTAATGCTAATAGATAGATTAGATGGCTGTTTCCACATGAGATTATTGATTATGACCTGCTAAACTTACCAGCAGCTGCTCAAGAAAGCAAAAGTAGGCGAGCATGCTGACGATTACAAGGATGGGTACTTCCTGCCAAACCCTGTGTAGTATAGCAAAAGTCAGAAACCCGATTTGGGTGAGTTATCATTCATAAGTATGTTTTATTAAAATTTACACCAATTTTAGTATTGAGTGGTTCTACTCCAAAGAAAACAGTAGGATAAGTAGAGAAACGAGGGAAGAGGAGAAAATGTATATTTTTGTGGTGCGCTGATCAAAGACAATACTAACAGAACATGACTTCTTCATTCAAACACTATGCTTGCAATTTCATGCTGCATATATCTACATCAATTTTTCAGTATAATAAAGCGACATATCAAAGATCGATTCAGCCAATTTGGTTGCTTAGCTGCTATTGTTTCCAGAAAAGTAGAAGGGTGCATGTCACTACAAAGAGTTGAAATATTGTAGGAGTGAAATCATATTATTGGGCTAAACCAGCACAAAGATACTTTTAACATGGTGATTTTGTTGATATATGAACAACCCTGATTGTCAATGGTGAACTGGACAGGTAGTTGTTAAGCTGGCAATATGAGATACTTTAGTATTCTTAGGCAATAAAATATTTACCTGTATCCATTTATTTCCAGATGCCGGAACCTATTGGATCCTGCAGCATTTCGAACACTTTGCATGCGCAAAAGTGTAACGGGCAGATTCCGGACTTCTTGTTTGCACACTTCACATGTTTTGTTCCCTTTGATACTAAACCATTTTAAAGCACATTCTTGGTGAGCTAAAGCAAGTTCACCTTTGCAGCTGCACTCCATCTTGAGTGTCTCTCCACCTTCACACAACTCAACAAGGCAAATTCGACAAACAGCCTCCTCTTCCGGTATATCTTCACCATCTGGCTCATCATCCTCTAAGGAAACAATGCAAATATTTGTTTGAGATGCTGGAATCTTTAATAATACATATAATGCTCAATATGAAGCATAATATAACTTGGCAAAAGGATACCAGAAGCCTCATCCTCACTTTCTAAGTCTTACAGTGTTCGAAAGAAAAAGTGAATCATCCAAGGCCAATGAATGCTTAAAATTTTAAAAAGAAAAACAAGAATTGAATAGATTTGAGGCAATTGTTACCAGATACTTTCGTTGGAGATGTAGGTGGAACTGTGGAATCCACATCCTTCACTTGAGGCGTTGAAGGAATAACTCGAAAGAAAAATTCTACTCTCCTATTGCTTCCGTCTTTTTCTTTGTTAATGACTGGTAGAGACATTGATCGCGAAATGCACACATGTGGTTCTTTTGTCTGCAATAACAGCACATCATATTTCAAATGGAAAAAAAGGGCAGCCCGGTGCACGAAGCATCACGCGTTAATGCAGGGTATGGGGAAGGGCCGCACCCCAAGGTGTGTGATGTAGGCAGCCTACTCTGATGTTGCATCAGTGGCTGACTCTACGGCTCGAACACGTGACCTAGAGGTCACACAGAGACAACTTTACCGTTGCTCCAAGGTTCCTCTTCATCATATTTCAAATGAATGCACCAAAAAATAAGCGCAAAGATAAATTACTTCACTGCTTTTACATTTAAGAATTTCTTTCTAGTGACCAAGTATGGTGCTCATTTAGAATGTGAAGAAGGAAAGAGTATGTTGATTGACGCCTCGCTTTTTCTCTAGTAAAGCAATCAGACACAAGGTCGGAATTTTCATAAACATTTTGCAGAATTCCTTATTAGTCTTAAGTGGTACAAAATGAACTTTAGTTATTTTTCCATCAAATAGGATAGCAGAATAAAAAAATACCAAGAATTCAACTATTATGAAATCAATCAAGCAAATGTCTAGAGAACTTACACCAAGTGTTAGAGAGCTGCTGATACTCCCACTAATAGACTCTGGATTTGAATGTGCAATTGGTGTAACGGGCAAAGATGACGTCCTCTTAATGCGCGGCGTAAACATTTTAGTAAGTGACCATGACCTTGAAATGGATACCTTCTCTTGAGGCACAACTGCAGGACATGAATCTGGGATGGTTATCTTCTCATCCAAATTCATACGCGATTTTAAGTTCAGCTTAGGGAAAAGATTCCTAATTGCTGATTTTCCACGAGACGGGGAGGGACCAGGAGATGAAGTTATTCTTGAATCAGCAGTACTAGGAGTCAAAAGGAAATTCACCCTCTTCGGTGTTGGTGTAGGCGTTGATGGCATTTTAATCTGAGCTAACTCTTGCCGAGAAGCGTCCAATGTTCTTGAAGGTATCTCCAAAGATAGATTTGGTTTCCTCCAATGTTTAGCATGTGTTCTTTCATCAGTAATCGCTGAGGAACTCTCCATCTGTACAAGGAAGCAGAATCATAAGCTGTTCAGTAAGCTGATGATCAAGGAACTTGGAGTCCTAAATCTGTGAAACATGAAATAATTCGCTTCGAGATTTTGATCAACATCTCCAATTATAATTCAACTCCATCACACTCCTGACCACATTTCAAAAAAAAGTGCCATCAGGGAAGAACTCTTCGCAGAAAGTTTAAAAAAAAAAAAAAAACATCATCCAATAGAACAACTATCTATTCCTCAACTTAAGTAGGATCCAAAGCAACTTTGTTGGGACTTGAGAGTTTGCTTACAACCAGGGGCGGAGCTAGTGCTTTGGTTACGGATTCGGCAGAATCCAGTAGCTTTTGTCCAAACCTTGAATTTGTCTTAAGAAATTCATTGAATATATACAAATTATTAACTTAGAACACAATAACTTAAAAGGACTAGAATTCAGAACCCATAAACTTCAAATCATAGTCCCGCCTCTGCTTCGAGCATATTGGTTCTGCAACCAAAAGACTGCCCTTGATTGAGACTTATCAAATTTAAAAGAAACAAATGTTTCACACTTTTTCCTCATTTGAATGTCTCAATGTTTTGATTTAAGTAATTCATGTAGGTCCCTTTCTTAACTTGCCATAACTCTCTCTAAGTCATTTGATTTGGAGTTTATATGTATAAAGAACATAGTAAGATGTCTCACAAATTTACAATAAACATGACTTTACACTCTTAATCTCAAATATAATTGCTAGTAAATGACTAAACTCTCTGTAGGTTGAGAATCAATTTTTGTGGCAAAACTCCATTGGATGGAAAAGTTACAGAAAGCAAAAAAGAAAAAGGAGTATATAAAGAAAGGGAAAGGATTAGAGGGAAAGGATTTTAAACAAGCAGTAGAAACAAACAAAAAAGTACAACACCAAGTTACAACAGACAAATCAAACTTTAATAAAAGAAACAACCAAGATAAAACACAATTACATAAAATAAAATAAAACAAGAAGCTCAGAAACTTCCCTCCATTTCTCCTTAATTTCTCTCCTCCTCAAACTATAAAGCAAATTTAGTGTAATGTCACAAGTGGGGTCTAGGGAGCGTTAGCGTGTAGACAGACCTTACCACTACCTTGAAGGCAAAGAGGCTGTTTCCGATAGACCTCGGCTATGCAACAGAACAGAAAAGCACAAAAGTAGAAAGCAGAGACTTTATTTTATCACCTTAGGAATTGGAATGATAACTTCTCTTTCACAAACATGACCCTCATCAGCTATAGATTTCTCCTTCTGTTCTTCACTCATAGTGTAAAAACAAGCAACCCCAATTCAACAATCTACTGAAACAAGCTACTACTACTATTACTACACTTTGTTCTTGGAAATAACTTAGAAATGAAAATCTTGAAAAGGGTGACAGGAATAAAAGCAAAAGGTAATGGGAGTATTGTTAATACAGAATCAGAATGTTGTTAGCTAGTAGATAGAAGCACTTGCAATAAATATTTGGCTAAACTAAATTAAGTTATCTCTTTCACAATCAATGGGCAAAGGTAGAGTAAAGAGGGGGCTCTCTACACAAGACTGGCCTATTACTTATACTCTTCAGGTTTGCCCACTCCCCAAAGTGCGGCCTCACTTCACTACACCACTATCTTTTTGCTACTGCACACTGTAGCATGGGCCTATGTCATGCAACTAATTAAATTCTGCCACCTTCCTACAGAGACGGACCCAAGATTTGAAAGTGACGGAATATCGATGTCGAATAAAAATTTGAGCAAATACTGGAGTTGGAATAGACACCATACTAAAAGTCAAATTATGCCCTCCAAATCGACTAATACAACTGCATGCATCTCAGGGTGTCAATCAAAATATATATATACATTTTGTTCAAAGTTACTGGGGGAACGATATCCCCCGACCCAAAGGGTAGGTCTGCCTTTGACCTTCTAGACAATTTTTTTTATCATTATTAGGTACATCTATTAAGTTCTATGCATTGACACTGTAAAAATATGACATAACTAAATCACTTATTAGGTAATTACACGTATCATGTCTTCATAACATTAATTGGTCGTGGTACATATGGTAGCCAATTGTTATCAAAGTTAAAATTCAATGATAGTGTAAAAAATTCTTTACACTATCATTATATATAACTTAAATCTTTATTTTAATTGGTAATCAAGTCATGTATAAAATAATTGCAAAATAATTGCTTATAATAAATAAAATTAGTTATTTCAAAAATATGTAGATAACTTGCTACAACATGTTAAAATTGCATTGTTAGTTAAAAACTATTAGCAGTTAGTATATTATACCAACATAAATTCTGTTCACTAGCTTTATTCCACGCATAAATTCTGCATAAAACCACTCACAAAAGTCCAAGCTGAAGTGACACAATCTTAGTATCTTAATTTTGCTATCGAATATTTACTTTTTAAATGCAAACTTTAATTTTGTAATTTTGAAATAAATATAGCACTTGCAATTTATAAGTGCAATTTTTTCCCATCTTCCTTGTATTCTTTATGTTAGTACTTTGTATTAATACAATAACTTACAATATTTATACAAAATCCAAAAAAAAAATTAAAATTATACTAAACCCGGCCCGGCCCGGCTCCCTCAACCCGTAACCCTTATGGTTCAATTTTTACCCGGATGAACCCGAACCCGTTAAACCCGTTAAGACCCAACCCGTAACCGGTCCGGACCGTAACCCGTACGGGTCCAAAAAATATAGGCCCGGCCCGGCCCACCGTTAAACACCTTTAATTGATACTCAGCTCTCTTTCAAAAAGAATAAAAAAATTCAAATAACTATTAATGTTAATTCAATCTCTATTTGAATATTGATTCATTAATTTGCTCCCATTAAAACTACATAGTATATAATTATAGTCAAAGAAATTTTTTTTGATTCCAAAATAAGATGGTATTGTCTCATATATATATATATATATAGCTTTTAAAATAGAATTTTCTTTCTCGTGACTTCTTACGGTGAAGATGTTGAATAATTTGTGTAACAACAAATGCAGTAGTTTCAACTAAAGTTAATTTGCAGTGCCTAATAAACTATTCCATAATTAAGGGAAAAGAATTGAAAGAAGTTCATTTCAAGAGAGTATATGGATCATCTTATCCCATGTGTAAAATTAAAACACTTCTTTTCGTTTAAGATTAGTCATATTATATGATCATTATCATACGTGTAATGCATTATAAAAAGCAAATAATTTGTTTTAGATTGGTTATTGTCATGTTAGTCTTACTTATAAAAGAAATAGAGAAGTTAGAAGATTATTAAATTGTGTCACCTATTTCTTTTTCTTCTATAGTTTATGCATGTAACACGCACAAAGGGACAACTTTTGTTATGTTCGAGTGCAACTTTACTTAAAAGTTGGTGCATCAACAGGGTCCATATATATACATAGTGTAGGAGAATTTTGTGCAAGTAGTGTCAGTCTACTGTCATAAATCAATTTATGAATAAGTTTGAATTTGGGATTATGATGGTTTTAAAGTTTTACTTAATTATGTGAGAAATCATATAAAAGGGAATTGAAATTATAAAGTAATTTTTAGTGGTCTATCGGAAATAAATTTTTTGTCTGCACAAGGTAGGAGTAAGGTCAGCGTATATACTATCATACCCAAATCCCACTTGTAGGATTACACTGATTATGTTATTGTTGTTCTAATTCTTAGTAGTCTATCAGAAACAGCTTTTCTACTTGCACATGGTAAGAGTAAGGTCTGTGTACACACTGCCCTCCCCGAACCCCAATTTTAGAATTACAGTTGGTATGTTATTGTTGTTGTACTTCATAGTGGTCTATCGGAAACAAATTTTCTGTCTGGACAAAGTAGAAATAAGGTATGCGTATATACTATCCTCTTCAAACCCCACTTGTAGGATTACACTGGTTATGTTATTATTGCTGTTGTTGTAATCTTAGTGGTCTATCAGAAATAGCCTCTCTACTTGTACAAGGCAGGAGTAAAGTCTGGTTATTGTTGTTGTTGTTGTTGTTGTTGTAATTCTTAGTGGTCTATCGGAAACAACCCCTCTAACTACACAAGGTAGGAATAAGGTCTGCATACATACTTCCTTCCCCGCATTTTCCAGATCCCACTTGTAGAATTACACCGAATATATTGTTGTTGTTATTGTAATTCTTAGCGGTCAATAACGCCCTAAGTAGGAAGAAAACAAATATAATGATGGAACAAAAAAGAGCACATTGATTTGTCATTTGGGAATAATAATTTTTTGGAGATGGAGGAGACCACCTTAACCTAAGCAAATGACTTTGATACTACATTTGATATGCCTACCACATATATTTGGTGGCAATTGCAAATCAATATTACCTTTATTGGTGAGTAGGGTGTCCTAAAATTGGACTTTCCATCTCGAGAATGGAAAAGTAAAGTGGGCCAAAAGATAAGATATGAAAAACTTTGAACTACTTCAGAGATAATTTTCTATTCAAGAACTCAACTCACCTCTTTTAATTATGTGCTGAGTACCTTTCTTTTTAGGTAATGTGAGTTGCCCCTCTAGTTTTTCATTTGTTGCATTATACTCTAAAATTTACAAAAACTTGTACATTTGTTTTAATGGCTTCTTTACCATTTTCAAAGGCCAGTTTTCATGCTCTATTTTTTGTCTAAAAATCTGTGCAAAATGCAAGCTTTGGAGATAGATGTATCAAGATTTAATGACAAAAAGAAGAATATATGACGTTTCCCAAGAAACCTATGTAGTACACTAGTAATTATTAAAATCCATGAAACATCATATTTTAATATTGTTTTCTTCATAGTCAAATTCATGCTAAGCTATAAGCTCCAAATGATAAATAACCAAAACCAAATAGTAGGAGAATGAAAGACGACAACAACAACAAACGCACTATAATTATACGAGTGGGGTCTGGAGAGGGTAGTGTGTACGCAGATCTTACCCCTACCTTGAGGGTAAAAAGGTTGTTTCCCATAGACCTCGGCAGTAGGAGAAAGAAAGAATTTTTAATCTCATTTCTTATAGGTGATTAAAAGTGTTATCTCTAAAGGACAAATCTGGAGCACAATTTGATTCGTAATGTCATGAATTTGGATTTAATATATCACAAATAATCGACAAAGAATTTTTTATGTCAGTTCTAATAAGTAGTTTAGAAGCGCAATCTCCAAAGGCAACCTAAGAGGACTATATAATTCGTAATACACTTCGCCGTGTTAATTAACTCAACATAAAGAAAGCTCATTTGCGTCAAAATTAGGAAATCATTGTATGTACCAATTTTGTTCAGGGGCGGAGGGAGAGCATAAGTTAGGGGTTCGGACGAAATTTAGTAGTTTTTGCTTAGATATTATATGTGAATTAGAAAATCCAATTAAATATGTGTAAATATTCAATTGTGAACCCAATAACTATAATTGTCTATGGGTTCTGCGGCAAATTTAGAACTCATAAACTTCAAATTCTAGCTCCACCTATGCTTTAAATTCAGTATGTTCATATCACGGCTAATCTTATGTAAGTCAAATCATTCCTCTTTTCTTATTTAACTTTCTAAAAGGGAAAAAAAATACGAGCATTGGTCCTTTTTGTCCACCTATTTGTCTAAAAGGCGAGACAAGATAAAAGCACTTGAGTTAAATAAATGGTTGAAGATTTTCGAAAATTTTCGCAGAGGGAATGATCCAAACACAAAGTTAATTCAAAATTCAAATGTTCAATTTCAAGAATTAATAAGAACCTCTGCTTTTGCTTTTTTATTTTTTTATTTTTTTTTTTTTTTTTGTCCTTCCAAAAGACACAATCAAGTGTTTGTTAAAGAGGTTAATTCCCTGTTTGGAAAGCATCTAATTCTAAAACCAGTGGCGCTTTAAATAAATGTTGCATCAAACTGCACTCTCTTCTATTCCTAGTCTTCTCTTGTGAACTTCAAAATCAATTTTTTTTTATTGTACAATTTTTCACTACTCAATTTGGCTTTATTTCCTTTCCCCTTTTTCATAACTCAAGTTGTCCCATTTATATATCCAAACAGATCTTTGCAGCTACACAAGCAGAATGGTCCTTGCTTTGCGGACTTAGCTAGCGTTTGGATATTGATTTGGTTGTAACTTTTTAAAAAAAAAAAAGAATTTTTGAAGTTATGTCGAAAAATAATTTTTGGAAGTTGAAGTTGTAGTTGGACATGCGTTTTACTTGGAAAAGGTTGAACTTTTATGAGAGGAAGAACCAAAAACGGGCCCAAACAAATTTTTGAAACTTAAAACTTTTTTCAGAACTTTTTCAAAAACTGATCAAATTCCATGAACAAACAATGTTTTCAATTTATTTTTTTGAAAAAAATAGCTAAAATTTATGTCTAAACGAGAGCTTAGGAAATCTTCTAGTGAATTTTTTAGTGAAACAAAGGATCATCTTTTAAGAGGTGCGTCCTTCCCGCTCCTCTCGTACTAGGGAAAGGTCCAGCCCCGTTCATCTTCGGCGCAAGAGATTCATAAGTAGTTGTTAGTAGAGTTGAGACTTT